GAAATGATTGAGATAAAAAATTCAACCAGAAGACACTCTTAGGAAACAAACACTGTATTTGCTTTTTTTTATTGTGCCGAAGATCAAATTATAAAACCTTTCTTCTTGCAGAGAGTCATTATCTCTTCTCTGAAATGCCACTCTGGCAGCCTGGCGAAACAGCATGTTGCTTACTAGTTACAATAGTTGTTTTTTTTTAAATAACTTAATACAGAAAAAAACATGCTGCGAATAGTTTAAGTAATAAAGCTTGGAAGAATTGGAAAACTCCTTATAATCTTAACTATGATTTCCAATAGATAAAACTAATTAAATTGAATCCAGCTCAGGTTCAATTTGATTATTTTATGACCTAATATGGTATTGAGGGTGTCTTTGGGACAATTTTATAAAAACTTTCTGTGCATAATAGATTTTCAAAGCCATCAGTATTTTAATAATTCAGAATAAAACAGAGAAGAATTTTTCACTATAACCTGAGAATATTTTGACCCTTTAGTGCAATGCAAGTTAGTAGCACTTCATTCTCTCATCTGTCACATAGGAATATAATTGAATTATTTAGTGACCTAAAAAATGAATCATTAACTCTAGTCTAATCAAAATGTAACTTTTCTAAATAAAGGTTTACAACTAAGGGGAAGTGAAGAAAAATACAAGTAAATAGCACATTTTCAACTAGCCAATGCATATAAATAGTCTTTTATGTTGTTAAAATGAGGTAGTTGATTGAGTATTGAGATAAAGATAAATTGTGTCAAGATGCAAATAAAGATAATGATGTTAATGAATACTTATGGTTAACATTCAGATAAATTTAGGGTTTATTTGTATGGAATTAAGATTTATTATTTCATTTAATGACTGCAATTCCAGGTCTTACTTTTTTATTAATCATGGCAATGACTAGAGGATTTTAAATGAGTCAAGGTTGTTGAGTCCTCTGGGATCAGCCTGCCAAGTGTGGAAGTTGGGAAACACTCTCGCTGGAAAAGATAGCACTGTGATCCTTGGCAAGGGTGCCAGTTAGTGCTAGGGTTAAGTGACCTGGTATAGTGGAAGGGCATGGCTCAATCTGGCACAAAGGAAAGCAGCTTCTCAAAAATGATCTAGGTTAGTGTCTTAATTTGGAAAAGAGCTCCTATGAGTCATAAGTGATTAGTATTGATTCAGCATTTTGCACTGAATATGCTAATAGCTTCAGTAAGCCTTTGTATTCAGAAGGAGCTGGCTCCAGAGGATCTGATGTTCCTGTGTGACTATGGTAACTGAAGATAGCTCCCACTGGGAGATGCACAGGACCCATGCTCATGGATAGGTTCCCCTGTGGGGAATCAGGCCTGCACCATACCTCGACTGCGATGAGACTTCCTTTTGCTAAAACTCCTTCACCCTGAATTGAGGCAGAAAACATTTACTGCAAACTGACTTCCTAAAAATTCATGCTAAACCTTCCAAGTATGAGTGTAACTGGTTCAACCACTTTTGCCTTTTCATTTGCAAATATCCCTCTTCTGTGATGTGATTACTGGCATCCTCTCCTCTGTTTTCTGTAAAAAGTAACCACCTAAAGTGAACCTGTGAATAGTTAATGAGGACCTTCATGCAATGTGCCCAGAAAGACAATAAAAGCTCAAAGAAGCAAGGGCCAAAGATTTTGACTCCTTTTGAGAGTAAAGCCGCCCACCCTCTTTCTCCACAGGATTCAGTAGTCTGTGTGAATTTCTTTTGTCTCAGCTACAATGCCGTGGTCCCACAAGCCCGGGTCCACAATACCCACCTCACCCATTCCTGACTGCCACCTTCAGATCTACTCCCTTTGGCTTTATCCATGTGTCCTTTATGCATATTGCTTGGTGGCCCTTCCCCTATATTCTCCCATTATTTCTCTTCCAACTCCCCTCTGGTTACTGTCAGTTTGTTCTTTATTTCAATGTCTCTGGTTATATTTTGCTTGCTTGTTTATTTTGTTGATTAGGTTCCACCTATAGGTGAGATCACATGGTATTTGTTTTCAATGCCTGGCTTACTCCACTTGGCAGAATGCTCTAACTGAATTATGCTGTCCATCCATGCTGTCACAGGGTAGGAACTCTTTCTTTCTGATGTGTAGTATTCTGTTGTGTAACTGTACCATAGTTTTTTGATTTACTCATTTACTGGTAGGCATTTAGGCTGCTTCCAATACTTAGCTATTGTAAATTGTGCCGCTACGAACATTGGGGTGCCTAGGTTCTTTTGAACTGATGTTTCAGGATTCTTAGGATATAAATCCAGCACTGTCAAAAGGCAGTTCCACCAACAGTTTTCTAAGGAAATTCCATACTGTTTTCCACAAGGCACCTTCAAATTTAGAATGTAGTGCTGGATTAAAATCCACTGACTCTGAGGTAGACCAGAGCACATTCCTGAGTGTTGCCTTAAAATACAGGTCAAAGTAGGAATTCTTTAAAAAAATAAAATATATGATTGTCATTCCTTTCAGAGCTTTAAGTTGGGTGAAGAAAGGATTTACCTGTTTGCGTTATGGGAAGAATCACTTTGAGCAATAAACAGACTTCTGGATAAGAAATTGCCTTAAGAAAGTGTTGTGAACAGATGTTGATCTGATAGAAAATTCTTAGTCATCTCAGTATTAATCATTTGAATTTCTTTTCTGATTCTGTCAGTTGAGAGAAAAATGTTAATTGAAGTTTTTATATTTTGAGAAGCAAGAAAAATGTTTGAAAAACTCTGTCATGCATTTGGGACAATTGGCTGCACACACAAAAAAATTGGGAATACAAAACATTTTTCTACTTCTGACCGGAACAGGCTGGAGGGAAAAATAGGGTCAGTTTGTAACCTGAGAGACTCATATCATTATTCACAGGAAGGAAAGGTTTAATGGTACCCATAATAGAATCTCCAGACTTGAAAGTCAGAATCTCTTCAAGTTCCTGGGAATCAAACACTGGAAGTGTTTTAAGGCACCTTCTGGAGGTATTAAGAATCTCAATAATGGTATCATGGAAGGATTATAGAATAAGAAAGAAAGGAAATAGCTAATGTCATCTTGAAGTTTGTAGGTGTAAACCACCACTGTAAACCACAGCATGTGTAAATCACCCCTTATGACATGTATGAATTCCAAGATATTATTGAGACCAAGATAATTCAGGGCCCTGGAAGTCTGCAATGGCAAGAGCAAATGAGAACCAGTGAATCTGAGCAATCGCTAAGAATGCCATTATGTTTGCATCTTCAATATGGACAGACTAAGGAAGCAAGTTTTGAGTTAGTATATTATTCTTACACCGTCATATTCTGAAACCACTTGAAATAACCATTAAACATTTGTGCTTTATTGTCAGTATCAATTACTTATATAATACTCTATCAAAATATATTTTTGTTGTTGATAGCCATTCTGACAAGTAGTAACAAGTGTTTTAGATGCTGAGGAGGAAAGGGAACCCTCACTTACTGCATGTGAGAATGTGAACTGAACTGGTATAGCCACTACGGAAAACAGTACCAACATTCCTCAAAAAATTAAGAATAAAATTATCATTCAATCCAGCAGCCCCTCTTCTGAGTATCTACACCAAAAATACAAAAACATTTATTTGCAAAAATATATACACCCCTATGTTCATTGTAGCATTACTCATGGTGGCCAAGACATCAAAACAAAGCAAAACAAAACTAGTGCACATCATCTTAAAGAAGATGTGTGCATATATACAATGGAATATTACCCAGCCACAAATAAATGAAATAGTGCTATTTTCAACAGTGTGGATGGATCTTGAGGATATCATGCTCAGTGAAATAAGACAGAAATAGTCGATAAACATAATTTTACTCATATGGGGGATATAAAACTGAAAGCAAGAAATGAATAAATAAGACAAACAACAAAAACTTACAAACACAGAAAACAGTATGGTGAATAAGAGAAGAAAAATGGAGTGGGGGAATACTAAGGTGTAAAGGGAGTCAAATATATGGTAACAAAAGGACATTTGACTTTGGGTAATAAGCAATGTATCAATGATATATCATAAAATTATATACTTAAAATTTATATAATTTTATTAACTAATATCACTGCAATAAATTTAGCTAAAAACAAAAAATGAGAATGCTGGATAGGTAGTGTGTGTGTATATATATATATAGATATATATATATATATCTATATATATACATTTCATGCTATCTATAATCTAAAAAACTTTCTTTGTTGATGAAATTTCTAACCGCTAATTACAATAGCCTAGTATTAGTATACAATTTATACAATTGGTATATATACAGAGAGAGAAGGAGAGAGATTCTTTTAACCACTTGTTTGATGTGTGAATCTTGACAGTGTAATAGCACTTCAAAATTCCATTCTTTATCTGAAAAGTTGGCTATTTGTGTTATTGTATTAGGAGACATAGGAATATACCTCTAGAGAATGGGGAAGTTGGAGAAGAATATTCCATTAAATACTGTTTTGTGATTCCCCCAAATATCATGGATTGAATGACAAGGACTAATATTTTAACTGGATGTCTGCCAGTGTACATCTATAGCATTGAAAACTAGATAGATATTGTATAATAATATGAACCTTATTTCAAATTCCTTGGAAAGTCTTATCTAGTACTAAGCACTAGATAAAAGTTAATTTATCAGCATAAAGCATCTTTGTATCTGCTTCCTTACAGCATTCAAATTCTGTAAGGAAGTATATAAGATCTTTCAAATGTCATTTACCAACTTTACTAATGATAAAGAAGAAAAAGATCCACTGTCAGAAAAACCTAGGTGCATATCTCAAAACAGAAATTATTACCCCAGTAAAGCTAGCTCCTTTTATTTTTTGTATTTTCATTTATAATATATAAAGATGTGAAAATATATTTCTATTTTAATTTTTTAAGATTGAAGTCACATGCATTTGCCAAGAACAATTTTTTAAAATTTATTTTAATTTTGATTTTTTTTTTCTTTTCCTTACTTTTTTTTGGTGTCTGTAGCCAAATTTATCACTGAGGCCCAACAGAGATAATCAGGGTCCGTGAGTCACACTGTTTCTATGGCAGCCTTCTGGGCCAAGAAAAGTTTTGAGGCCCCTTTTGTTACTGATTTTTGAATCTGGTTTATTAAATTAAAATAACAGAATTTTAAATACAAATGTAAACTTTAATCACTCCTGTTTATTTGTTTCTCAAAAAAGTATTTAAAAATTAAATTCAACCTACTGAATAAAGTATAGGCACTTAATTAGAAGCCCAAACTAGATCTATCTAATATTTACAAGTATACTAGTGTTTCACTGGTAGCATTCTGCTATTAACCATCAGTACCTGCTTGTTATAAAAGTGAAACCCTTAGAATACACCAGTTTAACTTAGTTGTGGTTCTTATCAATTTGTTTATTTTTGTATGTTCTATGTGTTTGTAACATTGATTAATGGTTAGGATCATCGCTTTGAAGTCAGGCTGTTGAGTTCAAATCTCTCCGGGTAACCTGGGCTAATGAAACTGGACAGATTTTTATTATCTGGAAGTGGCGACACTGCAACCCATCTCATGGGGTGGTTTGGAAGGTGAGATGAGACAGTATATGTAAGGGGCTAGGGTTCTGCCTAGCAAATTATAGGAGATTAAATATGTTATTTAACAAGTATGCTATTAAATATTAATAAAATAAATATGTCATTTTATTTTTACTATTATTAGTATTGGACTAAGATAAATGTTCTTTGTATAAATTTTTCTCCATTACAGATAAATGTAACTCATTTCAATTATATCTTTATCATTATTTTGATCTTAAATGATGTTGCACAAATTGGAGCAATTCAATAATTGCAAGTTTATTATTACTTGTGGAATTTCTTAAGAATGCAAAAGTTCTCAGTATAACTGACAAATGAAGTGCTTAATAGATGTTCTTTATTTAACATACTGCAATAGAGGACATATAGATAGATGGTCAACAGACATATAAAAAGATGCTTAACCTTTACTAACCATCAAAGATATGCAAATTAAAACCACCATGAGATACCATCTCATATCAGTCAGAAAGATGATTAACAAAAAGTCAACAAACAACAAGTATTGGAGAGGATGTGGAAAAAGGGAACACTAGTGCACTGCTGGTGAAAAACGGTAGCTAGTTTCCTTAAAAAAATTAATAGTGCCACCATACAATACAGAAATCCCACTGCTGACTATGTATCTGAAAAACAAAAGAAAACAAAATACCTCACTAATTGCAAAAAAATAGTCACCATTATGGTTATTGTTGCATTATTTACAATAGCCAATACATGGAAGGAACCTAGGTGTCCATCAATAGATAAATGAATGAAGAAGTGGTATAAGGACATAGGATGGAATATTACTCTGCAATAACAAAAAATAATGGGACCTTGCTATGTAATGGCAAATAGCCATTGTAAATGAATGGACCTACACAGTATTATGCTTAGTGAAATGTCAGACAAGAAAAGACAAATCTTACATGATGTTGCTTATATGTGTAATTTAAAAAACTCAATAAATAAACAAACAAAACAGAAACAGACTCATACATACGGAAAGCAAAGTAAGGGTTACCGAAGAGTAGGAGAATGGGTGAAAACAATTGGAAGGGCATATGAGTACAAACTTCCATTTACAGAATAAATAGGCCATGAGGATGTAGTGTACAGCACAGGAAAGATAGTCAATAATACAGTAGTGACTTTACATGATGACAAATCATTACTAAATTTATTGTGGTGGTTACACAGTAAAATTTATAATTGTTATATCACTATGTTGTACACCTAAAAATAATACAATACTGTATGCCAACTTCAATACTTTTTAAAAAAATTGTGATGACTTGGTGTAAATTAAACCTATAATTTTTTAAATCCTTTATGTTCTAATCTACATTTTTCAACATTTTTAATAAAATTACTACTTTATTCTTGAATGATAGGTTAAAATTGAAGGTATTTCTAGAATCATTTAAAGGAAATAGTAAACTGGCAATCACTCCTATCATTTGAAATGATTCCCATGTGTTTACTAACAAAATAATTATAGTAATATCATCTATGTTTGATAGGAGCATTTGTACTTTGATTTTTTAAAATTTTTAAAAGATTTTATTTATTTATCTTTAGAGGAGAATGGAAGGAGAGAGGGAGAGAAATATCAATGTATGGTTGCCTCTCATGCATCCCCTGCTGGGAACTGGCCTGCAACCCAGGCATGTGCCCTGACTGGAAATCGAGCCAAGGTAGTTTAGTTCGAAGGCCCAAGCTTAATCCCATACTTTGATTTTTTATCAGAGTAAGGTGTTTCTTTTCTGTTGTTGTTTAATTACAGTTGTCCCCATTTCCCCCCATTACTCTCCTCCACCCTACCCACCCCCACTTCCCACACTGAATTTCTTCACTCCTGTTGTCTTTGTCCTTCCTTGGGTCTTTCATGCATGTTCCTTGCCCATCCTTCCCCTTCTTTCTCCCATTATGCCCCTCCCCCCTCCTTCTGGTCATTGTCAGTTTATTCTTCATTTCCACGTCTGTTGTTTTTTTTTAATTTGAGTTTTAGATTATTTTATAAAATCTGTGTATTTTTGTTTAGTGAAAATAAAATTTTCTACAATGTTCCTACTTTGTTATTATTCAGAGTCTAATAAATTAATAACACATTGGCCCACAGCAATACCATCAAGTCTGTACTGAAGTCAACCATTTACTGGCTTAATTATTAAACAGTTTGTCAGAATAATCTTGTGTGAAATTTAGAGATATTCAGAATACTTAACTAGATCATAGTTGTTTGGGGCATACATGATATAATAACATAACAGTAAATAGCAAACAGTAAGTGTAATGTAATTACTAATAGCGATAAAAATCTTTCAAAAAATAAGTCAAAACTTTCAGCTTCAACCAAGATGAACTAAATCTCATGCTTTCCCACCTTTTTCTATCAGAAACAGGGGATCTGCCTAGTGACCTTGCAACTTGAGGGAGGATACTGGCCTGAGTCCACTCTACATCTTGTTGCCTTCCATGTGTCCTTGACCCAGTCCTGCAGGACCTCCAACCTAGGACCCTCACACACACAGACAAAAAAGCTCTAGGAAAATCCAAAGGCATTGTGTCCCATGTCAGAGAGAAAGTGCACACATTGTAAATCTATTGTAGTCACAGAGAGGAGTAGAAGACAGATATCTCAGGCATTTCCCATCAAAAATTCAGTATCTTAGAATAATGAATATGGCAAAATACACTCATAACTGCAAGAATTAAAAAGCACTCTGGGAAGGCACAATGCAGGAATAAAACACAAAGCAGTTAAACAATATTATTATCTGAACAGCAAATGTTTGCAACAAAAATGTCTTAATAATGCAGGCCGTTGTTTACAATTTGAATTGAAAAGACATCCAGAATCAATTAATAGTCTACATAAGAGAAAGGCTTCCATGCTGTTACAAAGGGTAGGAGCTCCTTCTTTCTTTCTACTGCAGAGTATTCCATTGTGTAAATGTACCATAGTTTTTTGATCCACTCATTTGCAGATGGGCACTTAGGTTGATTCCAGCACTTGGCTATTATAAATTGTGCTGCTATGAACATTGAGGTACATAGAATCTTTTCAATTGGTGTTTCAGGGTTCTTGGGGTATAATCCCAGCAGTGGAATTGTCGGGTCAAAAGGCAGTTTGTTTTTAGCTTTCTGAGGAAATTTCATACTGTTTTCCACAGTGGCTGCACCAGTCTGCATTTCCACCAACTTGTCACTAGGGTTCCCTTTTCTCTACATCCTCTCCAACATTTGTTTGTTGAATTGTTTATGATGGCCATTCTGATTGGCGTGAAGTGGTATCTCACTGTGATCTAGAGAGCATTATGCTAAGTGAAGTAAACCAGACAGTGAAAGACAAATATTATATGATCTCATCTATAAGTAGAATCTAATCAACAAAACAAACAAGTGAGCAAAATATAACCAGAAATGTTGAAATTAAGAACAAACTGACAGTGACCAGAGGGGAGGTGGGAGGGAATAGTGAGGGGGAAAGGGGAAAGGAGTTTCAGGAATGTGTATGAAGGACACATGGACAAACCAAAGGTGGGTAGTATCAAGGGTGGGAGGTGAGAATGGCTGGGGTTTGGGGGAGTGGTGGTGGGGAGGGAAATGGAGACAACTGTACTTGAACAACAATTTAAAAAAGATAAAAAATTCAAAAAAGAGAGGCTTTTATAAATTTTATATCTTCCAACCGCCTGAATATCTTGGAGAGCTGTCTTATCAAATATTGCCACCTTAAATTTTGGGAAATCTTCACCTTCCGGTTGTAAGATAGTATGAAGCTCTAGCTAGGGTGAGCTGCCTTCTTTAGATGTGTCATATGACTCCAAGAGTGTAATATTTGGAGTTTGGCAGCACTAGGGTTTGTTAGTAATAACTGATAGGGGTCTTCTCTGTAAGGTTTCAGTGAATCTTTTTGGAGGTTATTTTCCATTTAACAAAACAGTGTCGCTGAATGTCTTTATCTCTCTGAAGCACACTGCAAAAATATTCCTTAGCCAGAATATGGTTACTTTTGATAGAAGTAATTAGGCTTTTATTATCCGTTGCAAAAAATAGGCAGGGACCAGGTGTATTGGGCACCCTGTGGCTGTCTCAGATGGTGAGGATTTATGAATTCCGAAGAAGTGAATTTGAGATTTAAAAGGAGCGGAAGCAATGCTTTTGGCCAAGGAATTTGAAGGGTGTCTATAAATGTTCCCAGTTGAGTCTTAATGATTTATTGGTGCCTTTGACTAAGCCTCAGGATTGAGGGAAGAAAGAGCAGTGAAAGTGATGTAAAGGAAGCCAAACAACAAACTGGTAAAAACACCTACTGGTGAAATGTGTTCCTCATCAATTGTGAAGTTTGAGAGAGATCCCCCAGGCAGGAATAATGTTTTTTCAAAAGGGCTTTTGCCACAGAAAAGGAAGTAGCTTGTCTACAAGAGAAAGCTTCTGTTTGGTGAGAAAACATACAATGACCAAAACATTTTTAGAATCCATTAGATGGTAGAAGCTCTAGGAAATCCATTTGCTAAACCTCAAACTGTTCTTTAGGCATTTAAAATGTC